CCAGTACACCGATTGAAGAGATACAATGAACCGGAAGATGCTCCGAAAATAACATAATTCGTAGAAATATCGAAGCAGGTGTACTGAAATTGATAAACATGCATATTACAAAGAAAATAAATAGTTTTTTTATGTATAATGACCCTCACCTTTATGCGATTACTGTGCTTCAGCGGCTCGTGGAGCGCTTGTGAAAAATCAATAAAATTGGAAAGACAATATAGCTCCGTCATTATTTCCTCATGCCACAGTAGGTACAAATATGCAGATTTTATTTTTATTAAAAGCCAAGTTATTTGGGTCTTTTTGGAAATACTTTTTTTATTATAAACACAACATTCACCCACCAATTTTTATTCACCTTCACAATCAGAAGAAAGCAATCGCTCGATGAAAGTCGAAAGGTATCATGGTGATGACAGCTATTAGGCCGAATATACCACACACACACACACACAGTAGGTCTGCGCGATGCGCAAACCGTCTCATAGTGGCTACGTTTCTTTATACATTTCAGTTAATCCCATTTCGCAACCAGAATAAACAGAATGCGTTTGAAATATACGTTAACATATCATCAGGAACGTTCTAAAGAATAAGTAAACAAAAAAGTTTATTCCAAACGTTCAGAATGAATAAAGAAATGCAGGCAGTATATTTGGTCGCCCTAAAGTCTGCAAATACTATTTCACATGCGGTCTGTGTAAAATCTAAAAATTTTGATTTTGGTCGCCAATGCACAAACGGAATGTGTTGTGTTTGTTGAAATTGCATCATACTTGTTTAGTTTTCAAGGAGTGTAGATCTGCGCGGATAAGATAAACCATTTCTGTTAAATTGTTTAAAATGTTAAATTTGTTTCAAATATCTGTATGGCGTATGACGAATTGTGTTGTATGCGCATCGCGGTGAAAGTACTCGTGAGGCGCAGACTTGTTGTGTTGTGTATTTGACTTATATAGTAGAATTTTTTTCATCATTTCAAGTGTACCTTAGATATTAAAAAAGGATGTAATTCCTTGATGTTGTGGGAGAGAGCTTTCCACTTTCCTTGATTGTTCATAGTTAATTTAGGAGATATCATGGCGATAAATCTGCCGTTTATTATATTACATCAAATATTTCTTATCCGTTAATAGTAGGAGCGTAGCATTATGCAGAGCATTGCTACCCTGCATGTGCTTTCCAATTGCTGCTTGCTGCTACTTTTATCACCGATTATTTGTTTTGTTATTATTTTCGCTTCTTTCTCGAATCCCTTTTCCATTATTTCATGTTGACTTTTTTTGGTGCAATTTGTTCAGCTTCGTTCACACCTGGTTTTAAGAGCATTTGCTAACTTTTATTGGATACTTGAGGTTTTTAGCTTTCCACCAACAGTCGTAAAACTGCAAATATATTTCGGGAATTCGTGCGCGGCTGCCAATAGAGGAGCTCTAAGAGTAACTAAAACCAACGCTGTATCTATTTGCCTAACATGTCCTTTCATTTGAGCACTAAGGAGCGTTTGCTATTGCTATTAGATGACATTGAATTAGTGGCAAAGTAAGTTCCAATAAGTTTTATAATCCAAATAAAGCTCCTTAATTTCTTTAAACCCTTACAGAGAGCTGATCGAAAACACAGTTGCACCAAAGCATCAGAANAAAGATGAAGAGTTCAGAAAAATGTTAGAATTAGCTGATGAGCAAGCTAAAATCGAGCAAAAAATGGACGAGCTGCGTGCCAAAGTTGAAGTGCATGTAAGTGCAATTGTTTCAGTCGCCAAATAGCTTACTGTTTCAATTATACCTTCTATAGGATCGGGAAATACAAAAGTTGCAAAAATCACTAAAGGAAGCGGAACTTATACTTTCGACCGCAATTTTTCAAGCACGTCAAAAATTGGCTAGTATTAATCAAGCAA